ATGAAAATTAGTAGCCAGAACAAATTCCAACTAGGGAGAATTTGAAATTATTAATATGCAGAAATTGTTAACATGTCAACCATTAGTAATTTGGTATTCCTGCTTAACAGGGTTATTTTAATGTAATTATATTCTGACTTTTGGTCATATTTCTTTTATTCTTTCCCTTTTAGAACTTTCTGATTTAAAGGAAAAAGTTTTGAAGCTGTAGATATGAAGAAGCATGAATCCAGATTGGCATATACCTAGTTTTATAGCTAAAAGTTAGTTATCACACATTGTCTAATAGAATTGTGGCACTAGGCAAGCCAATAAAAATGTTTCCAGCCAATAACCTAATTTTTGCCCTAGAGAGATCCTTTGGTTTACCAATTCATATAATTTACTTTTGATTGTTAGTTTTCCACTCTATGGATTATTATTGTTTCTGCTATTGACCTTTTGGCCATTTCATGGACAATTAGCACCTCCTTCAGAGAGAGGGCATAGGGGAAACTAAACAAGTGCACTTGTTTATTGTGCTTCTTGTTAATCTAGCTTTGGAAAAACATTATTGTTGTTGTTATTTGCCATTGAGTCAGCCCTGACTCATAGCGACCCCTCCTTGGGTTTCCGAGGCAGTATCACTATGGAAGTAGGATTGCCCAACCTTCCTTCCGAGGAGTGGCTGGTGGGTTTGAACCGCCAGCCTTCTGGTTAGCAGTCAAGTGCCTTAGGCACTATGCTACCAGAGCTCCTAAAACAAAGAAATTCAACACATTTGAGTCAGTCCTGTAAACCAAGGTTAGCAAACTCAGACATCTACAAGGCCAATAGGTAAGGGAAATGAGTACTTGGGTCACTCATCGGTGGGCACTATAGCAGATCTGGACAGTACGTACCCTCCCTGATGGGTTCAAGTATTTTCACTTCAACACCTGCATGATGGCTGAATTAGGCCCACAGGCTTCCAGTTTACAATATCGGTACCTACATAACCTTGATAATCAATGGTACATATCCTTAGATGTCATAAAAACATTATTGTTGAAATGCATGGTATTTTTTTCATTCTACTATATTAAGTTATGAAAGAGCTTTGGTTGGGCAGTACCTAAGGCATTTGACTGTTGACCAGAAGGTTGGCGGTTCAAAGCCAATAGCCACTCCAGAAGAAAATAGGGCAATCTACTTTCGTAAAGATTTGCTACCTTGGAAACCCAATGAAGGTCGCTATGAGTTGGAATTGACTGGGTGGCAGTGGGTTTGGTTTTGGTTTTTCATTGGGAGTAGACAGTGATATGCAAGCACTGACATTTTACAATGATACATGTATTTAAACTTTATTTTGATTGTTTTGCTTTTTATGTTTTTCAGGGAAAGTTCCATGGAAATCCAATGCACGTAGCTGTGGTTATTTCAAATTGTTTAAGGGAAGAGAGGAGAATATTAGCTGCAGCCAACATGCCTGTCCAGGTAATGGTATTTGAACTCTGTGATCTTGTTTTCATCTTAAACTCAGTTTTTCTCAAACAGAACATTTTACCTTTTTCTAAACCAACTTCTCCTACCATTTTAGTGATGCTTCCATCCTTTCTGGAATCAAGGTTTTGGAATCATCTTTGACTAGTTCCTTTTTCTCCATCTCCATGTTGAGATAATTACCAAGCCATTCATGTATTTACTCCTAAAAGTCTTTCTTATCTGCACCCCTTTTGTGGTGCCACTCATCTTGCTCCAGTCCAAGGTCTTACAACATCTGTCTAGAAATATAGTAACCCCCTCCTGAGGGGTTTCCTAACTGCCTTCACCATGTTTATCTTCATACACCAATCTTACTCAAAACCTTTCAGTAGCCCCCTATTCTTGCCCTAAAAATCTAAACTAATCCACAGGAAGGAATTTTATCCTACAGAAACTCCATCAAACTGGCTTGTTGACTGCTTGAGTGTACTTGGCCTGCCATAGTTTAGATTATGTTTTATCCCACCATCCTGAATGAATTCAGAGCCCATACAAAATAACCAGAAGAATTAATAAAGCCCTTAAGGAATATTTTTTCAGTTTATCCTTAGTAAAGGAACAGATAAATAAATAATCAATTTTCTAAATGATACCTTCCATGATTTAGTAAATCATACCATGATATTTGTTTTTGAAGATGCAAGTATATATTTTTAACTCTTAAAAATTCTCAGGTTTAGTTATTGTCAGGTTATGGTTACTTTTAGAGAAGTATAAAGTTTTAACGATTTACCCCTTTCTTCCTCTAAAAAGAGGAGAGATGGTATCATTATTATTTCATTTAAAATGTGAAGTATACTAAATTTCTAAAGAAAATATAATTTGATTCAATGCTTTATGGGTTAAAACTGAGATGATGGTTTTCTCAGCTATCTTTTTTTTTTTTTTTTAATCCCTCTCATCTCTAGTCATTTTAGCATTGTGTGTGTGTGTGTGCGCCTGTGCCCGTGTATGTATTGTTCCCATGAAATGTCAGCTATCAGTCAAATCGAAACATTCGTTTATTTGGGTACATGCCCATGAAAGTCACTTTGAAAATAATCTGTTAGGATGACATACCACCCCAAAAGAAGTATTTAAATTTCAAGTAGGTACACAAATAATAGAGGTTCAAATGACATAGAGAAAGCAAACTTAATCTTAGGAAATTTTATAAGACTTTACCAAACTGAAGAATATGCTGTAGTTGAAAGAACACTTGATCAAGAGTCAAAGACAAGAGTTCACTTGAGGTTCTACCACTGATTTGCTTTGCAGCTTAGTCATCAACCTTTCTAACCATCACTCTCCACCCCTTAACTGTAAGGAGAAGGAATTGCTTACATCTCTAACTCATCTCTAGATATCTATCTGACTTTATTTCTAATGACCATGCTCAAGGTTAGATTATTAGAGCTGCCAAGAAACTGTCCTTGGGAATGTAGGGGGATCAGAGTTTAACAGTGGTTACCAGGGGTGGGAAGAAGGGGGAAGAGAGGAATCTTTGTTTAGCTAGTACTGAGTTTCTGTTTATAGGGGTGTAAAATATAGCAATGAATGTTAGTGAGGGCTGCACATGATTGATGTAATTGGTTTCATTTAATTGTACAAGTGAAAAATGTTCAGTGGGCAAGTATTGTGTTACCCATTATTTTATAACAATTAAAAAAAAAGAAGAAAGAAAGAAATGGTGCTTGGAAAAGCTGGTTAGCCATTCAGTTTATTTTTTCTTTTTTTCCTGGCTTTCTTTTATTTTTAATTTTTGTTGTGATTCAGGTAGAAGTTTACAGAGTATATTGGTTTTCCATTCAACAATCCATACACATTCTGTTTTGTGGCATTTACTGCAATCCCCAGCCTGGAATAGCATTCTTCTCGATTCCTTCTTGTCCACCCTGCCCCAGGCCCTTCCTTCCCATCCTCTCCCAGCTTCCTAGCTCCATTCCTAGGCAAATGCGTCCTCTTGGTCATATGGTTTATTGTTTCATGAGTGCTTACCCTCCTGAACTGTTTGTTTTCTTTAGTAAACTCCCTTTTGTTGTAATGTAAAATAAATTTTATCTAACAGATTCAATACCTACAATTCTGAATTTATAGGACCAGCTTTATGTCGTTTATGCTGTACTAATTTTTAAATTACATGAATTAGTTTTTATAGACTTTCAAAAGTAATTTAAGTCTACTGTAGAAAGTTAGGAATTTTTTAAATAGAAAATCATCTGTAATTCAACTATTCAGTTATCCACTGATAGTATTCTGGTGTTTGTGTTCTTTCAATCATATGTACTCAAGTGTATTTGCCTACACATATATCTATGCATTTATGTAGATATACTATTCTGTGTATATTCATATATATGCACACACTTATAGGCAATTGAGAGCATAATTAAATACTGTTTTTACAATCTACTCTGGGAGCTCTGGTAGCATAGTGCCTAAGGCACTTGACTGCTAACGAGAAGGCTGGCTGTTCAAACCCACTAGCCACTCCTCAGAAGGAAGATGAGGCAATCTACTTCTGTAGTGATACTGCCTCGGAAACCTAAGGAGGGGTTGCTATGAGTTGAGTCCGACTCGGCCGCATATAACAACAACAACAACATAATCTACTCTATTCCTTAACAATTTAAGTGGCTCTGGCATTTGACTGCTAACCAGAAGGCTGGCAGTTCAAACCCACCAGCTACTCCTCACAAGGAAGATGAAGCAATCTACTTCCGTAGTGATACTACCTCACAAACCCAAAGAGAGGTCGCTATGAGTTGGATCTGACTCGATGGCAGTGAGTTTGGTTTATTTGTTTGTTTGTTGTTGTTACATGCCATCGAGTTATCTCATAGCAACCCTATGCACAGCAGAACCAAACACTGCCTGTCCCACGCCAGCTCCACGATCCTTGCTACACTTAAGCCCATCGCTGTAGCCCCTGTGTCAGTCCATCTCATTGAGGGCATTCCTCTCTTTTGTCAACCCTCCACCTTACCAAGCATATGGCATAATTTTTAATGGATAGAGTTTTTCCTATCATATTGATCCAAACCTCAGTTCAAAGTAATTCTTATATATCACATACATTATAAATAAGTTTTATCAACATTAATGAAATTTCAAGACATTCTGTTTCCAGGGACCCCTGGAGAAATCATTACAAAGTTCTTTGGTTTCGGAAAGACAGAGGAATGTGGAGCACAAAGTGGCTGCCATTAAAAACAGTGTTCAGGTGAGTGATCTTAGAGATAACATGGAAAGGCTATCTATATAAAATACAATGCTAATTTTACTTTTGAAAAGTTACATAGCATTTACATCCTTTATAAAATAATAATTATATAAAACTAAGTGAACTGTAGATGTTTAAGGGTAAAATGACCCATATGCTGTCTGATATGAAGACAGAGGTTTTAAATAATCATCTTGCTGATCATTTCTTTTCAGACTTCTGATTTAGTGACCCTCTATAACAAGTAGTCCAGGACTTGGAAGCTGCTTTTCCCTTGGGTGTGGCTCTATAGTGAGGCTAGGCCCAAGGTTGGTGGCCCAGGGCTGGGAGCTGCTTTTCACTTGGGGGCAGCTCTACATTAAGGCTGGGACCTGAGGAAGGCAGGCCCAGGGCTTGGAGGCTGCTTTTCGCTTAGGTGTGGCTCTATTTTAAGCCCAGGGCCCAAGGTAGGTGGATCCAGGGCTGGGGGCTGCTTTTCACTTGGGGATGGCTCTATTTAAGGCCGGGGCTGGAAATAGGTGGGCCAGAGCTTGGGGGTTGCTTTTCACTTCTGGGGGCTCTATTTTAAGGCCATTGTCCGAGGTTGGCAGTTACAGAAGGGTTATGAACAACTAAGGGAGACAAGCTTTTCTGTCAGTTTGTCATCCTGTGGTGGCTTACGTGTTGCTGTGAGGCTGGAGGCTATGCCACCATGTTGCAAAATGCCAGCAGGGTTACCTATGGTATGCAGGTTTCAGCAGAGCTTCTGGGCTAATACAGACTCAGAAAAAGAAAGAGGCCATCCACTTCTCAAATAATTGGTCAGTGAAAACGTTATGAATTGCAGTGAAACACTGTCTGTATATTACTGGAAAACTTTATGAACAGCCCTGAAACATTGTCCAATATAGTGCTGGAAGATGAGTCCATCAGGTCAGAAGGCACTCAAAATTTAACGGGGGAAGAGCTGACTCCTCAGAGTAGAGATGACCTTAATGATATGGATGGAGTAAAGCTTTCAGTACCTCCATTGGCTGATGTGGCACAACTCAAAATGCATAGAAACAGATGCAAACATCCAATAATAATTGACACATGGAATGTACAAAGTATGAGTCTAGAAAAATTGGAAGTTGTCAAAAATGAAATGGAATGCATAAAGATTGATATCCTAAGCATTGGCTGAAATGGACTGATTTTTGCCATTTTGAATCAGACAACTATATGATCTATATGCCAGGAATGACAAAGAGGAGTGGTGTGGCATTCATAGTCACAAAGAATGTTCAAGATCTTTCCTAAAGTACAACGCTGTCAGTGATAGGATAATATCCATACACCTACAAAGAAGACCAGTTAATATTACTATTATCCAAATTTATGCACCAACCACCAAAGCCAAGGATGAGGAAATTGAAGATCTCTACCAACTTCTGCAGTCTGAAATTGACTGAATATGCAATCAAGATGTGTTCATTATCACTGGTGACTGGAATGTAAATGTTGGAAACAAAGAAGAGTTTTTGATAGTTGGAAAATATGGCCTTGGTGAGAGAAATAACATTGGAGAGTGCACAATAGAATTTTGCAAGACCAACAACTTATTCATCACAAATACCTTTTTTCAACAACATAAGTGACGACTATATACATGGACTTCACCAGATGGCATACACAGTGTGGTAGTTAAAGTTGTATGTCAACTTGGCTAGGCCTGGTTGAGTGGCTGGACAGCTGGATGTAGTATTCCCCATGATGAGACTGGTAATCAACTCCATGGTGGAGTCTACTGGGAGCAGCTGAGTAGCTGCCTTTGGGCATGTGGTCTGCTTCCTGTATATAAGTAGCAGCTTTGGGAACGGTCTCTAGGTTAAGGCACCTTGAACCCTGCATGTAGTTGTGTCATTGTTTAGCAGCCTGCCATGCTCCGCAGACCTTGAGACTTCCAATGGACTTAAATTAATGGCCTGCCGTGTGGTTCGGTAACATTAGGACTGCATCTTTTTACTTGTCAACCTTGGGTTTGTCAGCCTCAGCAGCCAGAAGCTGAGTGAAGGAAAGCCTCTAGCTTCAGTGGGCTGGGATCAGGAGGCAGAGCTGCAACCCAAGTTTGAGGGGCTTTCACCCAGCCCCTAGAGCCTGGCACATCATCCATGAAGAAAGCAAGAGGTCGTTAAAAAGACAAGAAAGGAAGAAAAGACCATAATGGATGTCAGAAGGGACTCTGAAACTTGCCCTTGAGCAGAGAGTAGCTAAAGCAAATGGAAGAAATGACAAGATAATAGAGCTGAAACAGAAGATTTCAAAGAGCAGCTCGAGCAGACAAAGCCAGTTAGTATAATGAAATGTGCAAAGACCTGGAGTTAGAAAACCAAAAGCGAAGAACATGCTCAGAATTTCTCAAGCTGAAAGAACTGAAGAAAAAATTCAAGCTTCGAGTTGCAATATTGAAAGATTCTATGGGCACAATATTGAATGATGCAAGAAGCATCAAAAGAAGATGAAAGGAATATACAGAGTTACTGTACCAAAAAGAACTGGATGTTCATCCATTTCAGGAGGTAGCATATGATCAAGAACCAATGGTAGTGAAGGAAGAAGTCAAAGTTGCACTGAAGGATTGGCAAAGAACAAAGGTCCAGGAATTGACTGAAAACCCATTGAGATGTTTCAACAAACGGATGCCTTGCTGGAGGCACTCGCTCAGATATGCCAAGAAATTTGGAAGACTGCTACCTGGCCAACTGACTGGAAGAGATCCATATTTGTACCCATTCCAAAGAAAGGTGATCCCACAGAATGTGGAAATTGTTGAACAATTTCATTAATATCACACACAAGTAAAATCTTACTGAAGATAATTCAAAAACAGTTGCAGCAGTATATTGACAGAGAGCTTCCAGAAATGCAAGCTGGATTCAGAAGAGGATGTGGAATGAGGGGTGTCATTGCTGATGTCAGATGGCTCTTAGCTGAAAGAAAAGAACACCAGAAATATATTTACTTATGTTTTATTGACTATGCACAGGCATGTGATTGTGTAGATCATAACAAATTATGGATAACATTGAGAAGAATGGGAATTTCAGAACACTTGATTGTAATCATGAGGAACCTGTACATAGACCAGGAGACTGTCGTTCAAACAGAACAAGGGGATATCGCATCGTTCGAAATCAAGAAGGGAATGTGTCAAGGTTGTATCCTTTCACCGTACTTATTCAACTTGCAGGCTGAGCAAATAATCCAAGAAACTGAATTATATGAAGAACAACATCACATCAGGATTGGAAGAAGACTCATTAACAACCTGCAATACACAGATGGCACAACTTTGCTTGCTGAAAGTGAGGATGACTTGAATCACTTACTGATGAAGATTAAAGACTACAGTCTGCAGTATGGATTACACCTCAATACAAAGAAAACAAAAATCCTCACAACTGGTCTGTGGTGCTTAAGTTTGTGTGTCAATGTGGCTGGGCCTGGTTGAATGGCTGGGCAGCTGAACGTAGTTGTTCCCCATGATGAGATTGGTAATTAATTTCATGGTGGAATCTATTGGAGCAGCTGAGTAGCTGCTTTGGATATGTGGTCTGCTCCCTGTATATAAGAAACAGCTTTGGGTATGGTCTCTAGTTTATGGCACACTTGAACCCTACATGTAGCCGTGTCATTGTTCAGCAGCCTGCCATGCTCTGCCGACCTTGGAACTTTCAATGGACTTGAATTAATGGCTTGCTATGTTGTTTGGTAACATCAAGACTGTGCCTTTTTACTTGTCAACCTTGGGCTTGTCATTCTCAGTAGCCAGCAGCTGAGTGAAGAAAAGCCTCCAGCTCCAGTGGGCCAGGAGCAGGAGGCAGAGCTGAAGCCCAAGGTTGAGGGGCTTTCACACAGCCCCTAGAGTCTGCCACTTGGAACTTGGACTTCTAGCCTCCAAAAACTGTAAGACGACAAACTCCTGTTTCTTCAAGCCATCCCATTTGTGGTATATTCCTGTCAGAGCAGCACTAGGTAACCAGAACATAGTCTGATAAACAGCTTCACCATGGATGGAGAAAAGATTGAAATTGTCAAGGATTTCATATTACATGGTTCTACAATCAACACCAATGGAAGCAGCAGTCAGGACATCAGACGATGTATTGCATTGGGCAAATCTGCTGCAAAAGACCTCTTTCAAGTGATTAAGAGCAAAGATGTCTCCTTGAAGACTAAGGTGAGCTTAACCTAAGCCATGGTATTTTCAATTGCTTCATATGCATTTGAGAGCTGGATAATGAATAAGAAAGACCAAAAAAGTTGTGGTGTTGGAAAAGAATGCTAAGAGTCCATGGTCTGCTAAAAGGACTAACAAATCTGTCCTGGAAGAAGTATAGCCAGAATGCTCCTTGGAAGTGAGAATGGCCAGACTTTATCTCACCTACTTAGTGGCTGCAACGATGTGCTTAGGTATAGCAAGGATCATAAGGCTGGCACAAGACCAGCCAGTGTTTCGTTCTGCCATGCATAGGGTTGCTATGAGTCAGCGACGACTCAAGCACACCTAACAACAACTATAACAAGTTAAATATGCATTCAAAAGTGTATGCTAATGTTGTTGCTAGAAAGAATTAGGTTCTCAGGTTGACCTGGGACAAAGTGTCCTGGCATATTATAAGGTAAAACCAAGAGCACTACTGATTCTACAAGTGTGAAAAGTCAGGTGATGATTCCCTTATTATAATGAGAATATTTAAGCATTCTAATCAAGCATGCAGATAGATTTTGCATCCAGCACAAGTTCCTTTAGTTCTAAAGAAGTATGGTAGCAGAAGCCCACCTTTTGGAGGCCAATCAGATACTTTAGTCAGGCATAAACACCTGTTCATCAGCTGCTGTGTAATAGCTTCTTCAGAGAATTGCTTCTGGTGGTTACATAGGGTTACAAAATGCCACATCCCTTGCCTCAGAGTGGTGGTAATTGTGGTGAAGGTCATGCCCCAGAGCTCCTCAAGCTAGACCCCGGCTGGGACCATGTCCTTGCTTAGCTCCTTCCCCTGCCCGTTCCCACTTCCTGTACTCACATCCTTTCTTCTGAGTGCCAATAAATCATATGGACCTGATGACTAACCCTAGCTCCGATTCCAAATGTGATCCATATTGCAAAACAATGCTTACTTATCAATAAGCGTTACATCATAACCTGCTACTCTGTGGAATGTTTTGAAATGTCACATTTTTGTACACATTCTCAGCCATCATGAGAGATTTTAAAGGTCACTGCTGGGTGTTTCTGCACTTTGCAATTACTGACACAATCTGAAAGCCTTTTAATTACTTACTATTGAGTTATGGCATTGTTTTAATATGCTTTTCATAAGAAGATTCTGCAAGATATCACCTTCTTTTACCTTTTCATTAATTTTAACATAAAAAAATAAAAACCCTGTCTATTTCTGCCTCATAACTGTTTTATTTTATTATGCATGTGGGTTCCCTGACTTTTAGGATCCCATAGCTTTCCACTCTTATTTGCCCTTCAGCAACTTAACTTGTTAGGAAATGCCCCAAGTGGTATTATATAAAGAAAACTAGATTAGCCTGGCTTTGAATTTTAGCTTGAGTATTACTGCTCTGGCGTAATGCCTAAGGTATTCGACTGCTAACCAGAAGGCCAGCAGTTCAAACCCACCAGCCACTCCTCGGAAGGAAGATTGGGCAATCTACTTCTGTAGAGATACAGCCTGGAAACCCAAAGAAGGGTCACTATGAGTCAGATCCGACTCCACAGCAGTGAGTTTTGTTTTTTGGTTTTTGAGAATTTGATACTTTTTTCTAACTAATAATTTAGCTGTTTGAAATTTGGAATCTGTGGAGAAGGGCAGGAAGAAGGCATATATTTCCTTAGAGGAGATTTCTTGGAATAAGTAGGCAGTAGGAAGTTTAGTTTTCTAAGAAGAAAGGGAAACAATGGTCTAAATTTGGTTGAGTGGGTCACTGTCAGTCTGCCAGACTTCTAAACCAAACTCCATCACTGAGTGGCTTATGACTTTGGGCAAGTAAGAAAATAATTATTATATTTATTTACTTCCCATCTCAAAGACTTAAAAACACTCTGAGGTCAAGTGTTTCTTCATCTCTAAAAGAGAAGGGAAGCTACTTCATTGGATTATCATGAGGATTAAGTGAGATAATATATAAAAAGCCATTAGCCCAAATCTTGACGCTGAATACACTGAAACCTATGAGAGCTGGAAGTCAATGGTACTTCCTTGTTTTTCTGGGTCTTGCAAGTTTGCCACCTTTGACAGGGTGTAGTCTTATCATTTTTATCACTTATTTTAGTGGAAAATATTTTATTTTTTTCTCTCTGGCAGGTTTCCATCTTACACAGGTTCCAGCTTTCACACGTTTTACTGTTATATCTGAGCAGAAAAACATAAGGTTTCAAGAATAAAAATTCAGTTCCAACTCACAGTGAGTCTATAGGACAGAGCAGAACAGCCCCATAGGTTTTCTAAGTATGTGATGTTTACAGAAGCAGACAGTCACATCTTTTCCTCTGCAGAGTGGCTGGTGGGTTTCAACCATCGACCTTTTGGTTAGCAGGCAAGGTGCACCACCAGGGCTCTTTAAATAGTAAGGTAAAAATCTCAAAGAAATAGAACATGCAGAGGAAGCATAATTTTTTTTTCCTTCTTCTAAGAAATGGAGAGGAAAAAATATTTAGGTGGAATTGTCATAAACTACCATTAGAATGAAGACTGTTCTAGTTATCTAGTGTCGCTCTGACAAGAGTATACCACAAATGGGGTGGCTTGAAGAAACACGAGTTTATTCTCTTACAGTTTGGAGGCTTTAAGTACGAACTCAAGGTGCCAGCCTCTAGGGGCTAGATGAAAGCTCCTCGACCTTGGGCTTCAGCTCTGCCTCCTGCTTCCGGCCCACTGGAGCTAGAGGCTTTTCTTCACTCAGCTGCTGGCTGCTGAGGCTGAGAAGACCAAGGATGACAAGTCAAAAGGCACAGTCCTGACGTTACCAAACTACACATCAAGCCATTAATTCAAGTCCATTGAAAGTCCCAAGGTTGGTAGAGCATGGCAGGCTGCTGAACAATGACACGGCTACATGCAGGGTTCAAGTGTGCCATAAGCTAGAGACTGTTCCCCAAGGCTTCTCCTTATATACAGGAAGCAGACCACATCCCAAAGGCAACTACTCAGTTGCTTGTGGTTGATCCCACCATGTAGTTGATTACCAGTCTCATCATGGGGAATACTACATCCAGCTGCCCAGCCACTCAACCAAGCTCAGCCAAGTTGACACACAAACTTAACTACCAAAAAGACATTAGCTGAAAAGTGATAGTACATTAATACAAACTTATATGGAACTACTGAAGAGTTCTAAGATGGGAAAAGTATATTTTCAGGTGAGAAAAAAGAAAAAAGTATGTACTACTAATAACACTTGGAATGAATTGAGAAGTGAGAGGTAAGATACTGCAATATTTCCAAACAGGAAAATAAACTAGTTGGAAGAGTAAGTATAGTCTGGTTCTTCCAGCATTACATATTTAACTTTCATAGGAATTAGCTCTTCAGAAATGTAGGTTCAGTACATTAGTCCTTGGCTCCTAGTGGAGACTGAGTATGTCAGTGTACTTGGAAATACTTAGGTTGTTTCATTGACATGCCCACTTGTAACACCACAATATATGTTTTCTTTTGCAAAAAGATGACAGAACAAGACACCAAATATTTAGAAGACCTACAAGATGAATTTGACTACAGATATAAAACAATTCAGACAATGGGTAAGTTTTTGTTTTACCCATAATTCTACATAGCGACAAAAGGCAACATGACTCAGGTTTCTCCTTACTGACAGAATTGATAAATAACTGATCTGCTTCCCTCAGGGAGTTCTTTTATTGAATGAGAGGAGTGTTTATTTGTTCTGTTCCCTCTCCCTGGAACTAGAGTGTGCACTTATGTGTATGCTCTCTCCCTCCATATAAATGTATTTTTATCAACCAATTTAAAAGCAGATTATATTCCTCAGGAGACTTCACCCCTAAATACTTCAGCATGCATCTCTAAAAAAAAATCAAAACTTTCTCCTCTTGAGTCAAAATACAAGGTCACAACTAACAAAAGTAATAATAATGACCTAATAGCATCAGGGAATTACTAATATCTTCTCTACATGAATTTTTCTCAACTTGATTTTTTCAGGTTACAAAGTCAAAATGTGCTTCATAGAAAACATTTGGAAGATAGAAAAAAGTATCAAAAAACAAAAATTACATGCAATCTCTCTATCCACAGATAAATACTGTCAAAATGTTAGTGTATTTCTTTCCAGCCTTTCTCCTGTGTGTGTATATATTATTTTTTTCACAAAATTGAGATCATTTTACATATACACTTCTGTGTATCACTATCTTAAAATTTTATTTTAAAGTATTTACCCACGTCATGGAAGTCTTCCAAAACATAACTTTGTAAATGTTTAGATGGAAGGACACTACAATTTATTTGACTATCTCTTTGTGGTTAAACATAGAAGTTGTTTACAATTAGATTTTTTTTAAGAAATGGAGGGAAATAAGAATATATACAAGACCTAAGATTTACAATTAATAATGAATGGATAGTTTAAAGTGTGTTACAATAATGGGCCAATCAGCATAATTTGAATTAGGGTTTGATTAGTTAATAGGATTGCATCAGTATTAATTTGCTAGTTTTGATAATTGCCCTATGTTTCTATAAGGTATAAACATTAGAGGAAGCTGGGGAAAAGTGCTGGGGGTGGCGGCGCGGGAAATCCCTCTACTATTTTTTAAACTTTTTCTAATTTTAAAATTATTTCAAGGTAATTTTAAAAATAAATCATATACTTACATTTACAGAATTGTTTTTAACTATTGAAATGTTAGCTTGAAAGATATCTTGGAGGAAGCATGGAGGATTGAAGGAAGATACTAGGAAACTTGTTTATACCTTGCATAGGTGGGAAATGAGGTGTTTTTATTTGTGTTCTTATCCTGGCAAATTCATGCTGTCCTGACCTCCAAAAATGTTATTCAGAATATTTATGATTGTCTGCACGTTTTTTTCTTCAGGAGAAATGGCACAAATATGAGTTTAATCAGATTATCAAAGGGATGTCCATTGACCCCTATAAAGGTTTAGAACAAATTTAATCAAACATTACAGTTTCTTAAATGCAGCCTCATCCTGAATGTCATATATGAATTCCTAATTTTCAGAATTGGAATACAATAAAAACATACTAAATAATAAATTTATTCTTAACTTACTAAATTTTGAGTCAGTTTAATATTTTTTAGTACTTCATGTACATGAGGAAGAACAAACAATAATTTTATCACTTAAATCAACATATATTTAATTTTTTTTGTCCCACCCTCTTACAAGTGAAATGAAGGGTATATGGAAATCAAGCTATAGCCTTGCTGATGAAGAAGGAAAGTATTAGCTGATGAATTTTTGACTTGATAAAATGCTACATAAGCAGATTTTGCAACATATGGGAACTAGAAGTTAGTGATTTTTAGGATAATTACAACTAGGGAAGTTTCTAGAAATCATTGCTATTTGATAGGAAAATTCACCGGAACATTGTTCTGAGGCCTCTTTTTCACAATTGCACAGCTCAGATCAGCATTTTCAACCTTTACTTTTATAGACATGAGTGGTTAGTAGAAGCAATCACTTGGTATATGCATCTAGTAGCTCCTTTTAGGCCCTTGACACACTGGCCATGGCTCCTATCCTGGGCTGCTTTAGGATGGTGGATTGTGGCAGGGTTGGCCTTCAGGAAGGAGCAGAGGAACTTGACCCCGGAGAGAACTCTGGACCTGATCTCTTTTCCATTGCAGATCAGGGTGACAAGAACAATGTCCTGATGAATCAGGAAGTTTTGACTCTGCAAGAAATGCTTAATAGCCTTGACTTCAAGAGAAAGGTTAGTGAAGAATTTTAATTGGCCTTTTGCCTCTTGTTTTCCTCCTTTTCATAAACTTGGTCCTTCTGAAAAGAATCAAGCTCCTGGATTTTGTCAGTTTCATTTAATCTGATTGAATAAACCCAATGTTTCTAAGAGGAATATAATGCTGTTTGCTATGCTTGTTCACTGTGCCTCAAAAAAAATCCAGACAAAATCCTAATAAAAATGAATGAGTAAGAGTTCAAATTTTAGTTTGTGTTTGTTAGTACATGCATAAACATATTTACAAGACTGTAAATTAAATTTATAAACATTCTTTTCAGAAGCAGACTTGGTTTTATGACTTAACAATATTCAATATTATAGCCACAGGAGTTACAAATTCACCATATTTATACTGAAAGATATGAGAGTGTTAAACAGTGATTATGTTTCTTCCCTTGGGATTTTTTTACTTGTAATAATTCACTGAAAATATAGTGCTATGGCAAATAGAAGTTAATATTTGGTTAAATATATATGTGTGTGTATATATATATATATATATATATTTGGTCTAGGTTTTGACCAAGTCCTTATTTCCAGGTCAGACAAATCGTTTTACAGGTTGAGTTTTGAGTTACTGGTTGTTTCTCTTGAAAATCTTTTCAGTAGTCACCATTTCTTTTAGGAAACCCTCGGCAAGATGACACAGATAGTCAATGAAACGGACTTATTGATGAACACCATGCTAATAGAAGAGCTGCAAGACTGGAAAAGGCGCCAGCAAATCGCCTGCATTGGAGGTCCACTCCACAACGGGCTCGACCAGCTTCAAAACTGGTAAAACAAATTGACTTCAGATTCTAGTGAAAACCACAGGAAGTACAAAACTTCAGTGTCGTTCAGCCAGGGAACTACAAGCGTAGACCAGAGCACTCAACTCATTTAGTTTATTTATGGTTCATTAGCAGCTGGGAACACTAAGGTTGAAAACAAATAGATGTTACTGTATAAGTGTTCTTAATTTTTCTTCCTTTTGTAAAAATGAAGCATATATAGAATGTATAAGAATTGCTTAATATTCACATATAAGATCAACTTTAAAAGATTCAAACTAATTTTTAAGTCAGCAATACATTTTCTTTAAAAGCATAAAGAAACACTAGCTTAAAAAGCTTGAAGAAAGAAATTTCAATGCTTAAATGTTTATCTTAAGATATCAGAGTTAAGCATTAGTTCTGTGTTTTCAATATAGTCAGTGATTTACTTTTAAAATTAATAGAGAATCTTAAATGGTTAATACAATATGGTATCCTCTATATACATACACAGGAGCTCAGGTAGCATAGTGCCTAAGGCATTTGACTGCTAACCAGAAAGTTGGCGGTTCAACCCACCAGTCACTCCTCGGAAGGAAGGTTGGGCAATCTACCTCCAGAGTGATACCACCTCAGAAACCCAAGGAGGGGTCACTATGAGCGGGATCCAACTCCACGGCAGTGAGTTTGGTTTATATATGTAAACAATAGGAGCTCTGGTGGCATAGTGGGTAAGGCACTCAGTTGCTAACCCCAAGGTTGGCAGTTCAAACCCACCAGCTACTTCATGGAAGGAAGATGAGGCAACCTACTTCCATAACAATTTACAGCCTTGGAAACCTAAAGGGGGTCATTATGAGTTGGAATCGACTCAATGGCAGTGGTTTATATACGTATGCATATATGCACTCAAGTATAGATATATACTACTAACCTTTGCAGTAACAAAAAAAAAAGACAACGCACTGCCATGGAGTCAGATCCAACTCATAGCAACCCCTTCTTGGTTTTCCAAGGTGCTATCACTAGGGAAGTAGATTTCCCATCCTTCCTTTCAAGGAGCAGCTAGTGGGTTTGAGCCGCCAGCTTTCTGGTTAGCAGCCAAATGCCTTAGCCACTATGCCACCAGAGCTCCCAACCTTTGCAGTAGAAGATAAAAATATTGATAGATCTTTTCCCCTTATAAGTACAAAATAAAACTGATTGAAAGAAAAAATAGAATGGAAAAGGAAATATTCGGTTTAAATTCAAAATTGCTTTCTAAGAGTACCATTCAACACAATGGAAATAGAAGCACTCCTCGGAGATATGGCAAATTTGGTTCCAGACCACCACAATAAAGCAAATATTGCAATCAACCAAGTCACACCAACTTTTTGCTTTCCAAGTGCATATAAAAGTAATGTTTACATTATACTGTAGTCTATTAAGTGTGCAATAGCATTATGAAAAAGTTTGAAATATTGTGAGAATTACCAAAATGTGACATAGAGACAAAAAGTGAGTACATACTGTCAGAAAAATGGCACCCATGAAATTGCTCGATGCAGGGTTGCCACAAACCTAAATTGTAAAGAAAAAACTCAGTATCTGCAAAGCATAATAAAGTGCAGCTCAATAAAACAAAGTATGCCTGTGTACAGTCACTTATGTACTTTAACTAAGAGCTATACCCTGCCAGGCCAATTTCTCAAGAGAAACAAAGGATTGAGGCATTTTCACATATACTGATTTTCCTCAGTGAGAAACTTTGATTCTCTAACCTCTCTGTGCTTTATTATAAAGCCTTATGATACAAGTTTATTATAAAAATGAGGTAAGTCACAAAGGGGCAATAAAGAACTTAGCAAGTAATGGTGCTTATATCAAAAATCAGCACCTAGTTGCTCTTTGATAGTTCTTTGCACAACGTTTTGTGTGAAATAAATTTTAAGTAGAAAAAAGTGCTGTCAGGGCCAAATGGGCTTCTCAACTCAGATGAGACCTTCTGTCTCCTCTATGTATGGGGGCCCAGGTGCCTCATTTCAATTTCCCTCTTCCTTAGATTTCTACCCCAAGATTATCACACAGTAAAAAAGCCTCTAAGTACGTACCAGGGGCAGGCATTTCTACATAAATCTTTCTCCAGAAAAAGTCATTAATAATTTGACCTCTGGTGGCATAGTGCCAAGACATTTGACTGCTAACCAGAAGCCACCAGCCACTCCTGGAAAGGAAGACTGGGCAATCTACTTCTGTAGAGATACCACCTTGGAAATCCAAGGAGGGGTTGCTACGAGTTGATCGACGGCAGTGAGTTGGGGTTTTTTTTTTTTTTTTTTTTGTATTTAAAAACTTGTAAAAGATATATATATATGTATATTTGGGGGGTCACTTTCATATTTGTTTTTTTCCTTCAGTGTTCTTACACATAACATTCTTCATATTATATATAGGTTTAAATTTGTTCTTTCTTTGCCCTTTAAGCCAAAAAAAAAACCAAACTCACTGCGATCAAGTCGGATCCAACTCACAGCGACCCCTCCTTGGATTTCCAAAGCAGTATCACTACGGAAGTGGATTGCCCAACCTTCCTTCTGAGGAGTGGCTGATGGGTTTAAACTGTCAGCCTTCTGGTTAGCTGTCATATATAACCAATTTGTAAACAAAAGATAATTAAACAAAAAGGATTTGGTTCCAGATGTTGACAAATTTCATAAATGACTTCTTGTCTAAACTTGAAGTTACAAATTAGAAAACATTTCATATATATTATACATATTAGAGAAAAGATCGGTAACCAAAACCAAAACCCACTGCCATAGAGTCAATTCTGACTCCTAGTGACCCTATAGGACAGAATAGAACTGCCCCACAGGGTTTTCAAGGCTATAAATCTTTACAGAAGCAGACTGCCTCATGTTTCTCCCATGGAGCAAATGGTGTGTTGGAAACACTGACCTTTTGGTTAGCAGCCCAATGCTTTAACCACAGCATCACCAGAGCTCCTTAAAAGGTACAATGTTGCTGTTATGTGCTGTCCAGTCAGACCTGACTCATAGCAACCCCTCCTTGGGTTTAAAAGGTACATTAGGCAAGTAAAATACTTTCCCTTATATGAAATTAAGTGATAAATTTAATAATTATTTAATCATTTGATATTTGTTAAATGTGGTCAATTATTAAAATGGTCAGTGGTTAAATGGAATTACTATCTCCGGTCTTCATTTGTGGTTCAACAGCTTTACACTTTTGGCAGAAAGTCTTTTCCAACTCAGAAGGCAATTGGAGAAATTAGAGGAGCAGTCTACTAAAATGACATATGAAGGTGATCCCATCCCACTCCAAAGAGTGCACCTGCTAGAAAGAGTCACCTTCTTGATCTACAATCTTTTCAAGAAGTAAGTGAAGAGTTACCAATTTAAATGCCTCTTGGCATCTTCAGTCCTGTGGAATCATACGGACACCCTGCCTGGGGTTGTTGTGTGTTTTGGTGAAGGAGTGTCAGGGAAGTGTTAAACAAAGAGCATTGAGGTGAAGTGAATAGAGCCCCTAGAAAGTCCAGAAACCACTTTCTATTCTTCACTTTTTGTTCGACATTTTTCCCACCAGCTGGCTCAGTTTTCCATGAGCTAAGTTACTTCACCCACCTACACCTCAGTTTTCACATTTTTGAAGGAAAATCTCAGAGCTTTCTTCTTAGGTGAATAGCCAAGAAATGAATCTCATCTAAAGAGAAAAAAAAGTACTTCTCTCTACCAGAAACCATAATATTTAATTCAAAAATGAATTTAACTTTCTACTTTGCTTGTTGTTGTTGTTATGCGCCGTCAAGTCGGACCCAACTCATAGCGACCCCTCCTTGGGTTTCCAAGGTGGTATCACTACGGAAGTAGATTGCTCAACCTTCCTTCCAAGAAGTGCTGGTAGGTTTGAACCACCAGCCTTCTGGTTAGCAGTCAAGTGCCTTAGGCACTATGTTACTTTACTTAGGATGATAAAAATGGACCGGGGCTTTTATTTTTAATTCGAAGTGTAATTAAGAATTATTTACTATTGTTACTTAGGGACAATCTTCAGGCATCTTCCCATGTAATGGTAATTATTTACTAGACATTGTTGTAAAGACTTGAGCTTAATATTGAGGTTTGAACCTCTTCTAAGTGAAGAAAATTTGGACGTCGTGAGAGGACAGCATCCTGTTCCTCTGTGGTTTTCAGTCTGTCATTATTTTCAATGTTTTCGAATGATGCACTTTTTTTTCTTTTAATCTAGCTCCTTTGTGGTTGAACGACAGCCATGCATGCCAACCCACCCTCAGAGGCCAATGGTGCTGAAAACCCTCATTCAGTTCACTGTCAAGCTAAGGTAGGCAAAATGCAGTCTACTGTTTCATTTGTTTATGGAGCTACAGCCATTACCTCATCAACTTTGGTTTCTCTCATTGTGCTGTAATTTAACTACTCTTTATTGAATGCTTCTTGTGTGCCCAGCACTGAGGTACGATAAACCAAAGGAAAAGAAAAACAAATCAGTTGCAGTCAATTCTGACTCATGGTGACTCCATCTGTGTCAGATTAGACACATTCAATAGCTGATATTTCTGCAGTAAATTGCCAGAATTTTCTCCCGAAGTGCCTTTGGGTATGCTTTGAGTTAGCAGCTCAACACGACTGGAGCTACCCAGGAACTCCAGGGGACATAAAAATGTTAAGATGAGGACCTTACTTTTAAGAGCATCTCAATATAGATGAGGGATATTAGCATGAAAGTATAAAATCACAATATTGGGCAATCAGGGATTAACAGCTGGAAAGGTTGACTTGAGGGAAGACTGGAGAGAACAGAAAGGTTTTATGCCACTGTGGAAGAAGGGCCATGAGGGAAGAGCAGAGGGGGGGAAGAAGGAAGATTGTGGGGCAGTGAGACAAGAGAACAAAAAGCTTCCTGGATCTGTTTTGTGATGCTATGGAACAGGATGATAGAACTGAGCAAATAGCTTGGGGCAGATTATGGAAAGCCCTGGAGATTATTGAAGGAGCTCTGGTGGCATAGTGCCTAAGGCATTTGACTGCTAACCAGAAAGTTGGTGGTTCAAGCCATCAGCCCCTCCACTGAAGGAAGATGGGCAATCTATTTCCATAAAGATTTACCACGTTGGAAACCCAATGGGGTTGCTATGAATCAGAATCCACTTGATGGCAATGGGTTTGGTTTGGTTTTGGTTGAATATCTTACCCAGGAAATATAGTAGCACTTTCTTCTCCTGTGATTCTCTGATAGCTGGTTTATCGGATGTTCCACCAAAACTCTCAGCACCCAAATTTGCAGTATATCTTTATTGTGTACCCTGATTTAAAGACAGACTTTTGTGTTATTGTTGCTTTGTTTTATCTGTGTGTTTGATTCCGTCCATGAGCAATCAAAACCTAATGTTTTCCCTTGTTGTTGTTGTTATATGCCATCGAGTCAGACTTTACTCATAGCGACCCCTCCTTGGGTTTCCAAGGCAGTATCACTACAGAAGTAGATTGCCCTACCTTCCTTCCCAGGAGTGGCTGGTGGATTTGAACCACTAGCCTTCCGGTTAGCAGTCAAGTGCCTTAGGCATTATGCTACCAGAGCTCCCAATGTTTTACTTAGTGACATTTAAAACAATGACTTTGAGTTCTAAATTTCAAAAATTTCCATCATGCCTCAAGTACCAACACCTAAACCTTTAAATTCCTGATTACTGGGTCACCATGGAAAGACTAATGCATCACAAGGTGATGATTCCAAGGTAAAGAGTGATTTAGGGGTCCCATCATAGAGTCCCCAATTACATATCATTCTTGGAACTTCATTTTTAAAAAGGAAGGCATTTGTCTTTAGTTTGCAGTGCAAAGATTTAAGAACCAAAAAAAAGGCAGAAGTAAGCAATGTTCCCTTTTAAAGGTTTATTCTTTTTAAAAGTTGTTTAGTCCTATTCTCCAACTCTATATAACCCAGAAGACTAAAAATAAAGTGAAATATGATGGAGAGATGCAGGACATCTTGCTTCTCCTTGATGCACCTCCATAGGTGATATGGTGAGTCTAAGACACTCTTAAGGATGAAAAGGAAGATGAGTAGGAATTACTCAGCAAAGAATTCTGCGTGGAAGAGGTCTCTGAATCAACCCCACCTTGCATGTTTGAACTAGTTGCCTGGAGAATGGATCATTAGTTCCTGGTTTGAGGATTCTTCCTTCCTCTTCTATATGACTGTTGGACCCCTATCCTTTTCTCTGTACCCTGCTTCACACTGTCTTGATAGATAGTCCGTTACTTAGTATTCAAAAATTTCCCTAAAATTCCTCTCTCTCTTGGCACTGCATCCTTCTATTCCAAAGGCAGGGGTAACATGGGACTCCATTATTAGTCATCAGCATCTTAAAGTTTATAAGAACCTTCCTAAAGGAGGACAGAAAGGAAGACAGAGAGAGAAAGCATCTTGCCTCTTTTCATATGACCATGCCTTTTCCCAACCTCCCATTACTAACAACTACTGCACACTTATCCTACCCCAAAGCCTGAAAGCAACGCTGTGCCTTGTTCAGAATTTAAGGAGCCTTTGCTACATTCTACTCACCCTCTTTTGGGGAAAGTCCATAATCTATGAGTATATTTCTCTAATGTTGGTTGGTTGCTTATCACCACACTCTCTGTATTCCATTTGTTTAGCTGGACTCCTTCATTTTAATTGTAGCCATGTACACACTTCTCCCTTCCCCATCTTCACTTCTCTCTAGTTCCCCAGTACCTAAAGTCATACGAGGTATTTATCAGGAGTCCAATAGATGGTGAGTTAATGAGCAAGATCTGGTATAAATGTGAGAGTAAATGTACGAATGAGTGAGTGACTGAATATCTTGGAAACTGGACAAAACCCACAGATAGGGTACATCAGAAGAAACAGCTCGGTGGAGTTGGGGAAAGCAAATGAATAAAGGAGGGGATGATACTAGAAGAAGGAATTAAAAGAATTGTTATTCTGAACTTTAATCACGTGTTTGTTTGAAGTTAGGTCTGCTTAGTTATGATCATTTTTACTGTTACTTAAATATAGCTTGTTTAAAGATTACAAGTGCGTTTGAATTTGGATTTTATATATTCTATCAGAGGCATAATCTTTCTCAGTATTTTCATCATAAAACAGTTGACGTCAAAAGACTTAGTTTTACTAAGCTTACAAATGATTATTTTTCTTAATGTGGGTATCAAATGGATTTTGAAATCGATTTTCAAATAATTTTTCCTTTATTTATTCAGTTAGCCAAAATTTGAGTTTTAGCCAAAATATACAGATATTTTCCTAATGTGGCCAATGTATTATCCAGCACACATCAAATTTCCAACATTTGGAAACACTTTCCAAGTGTTTGTAAATAATCATAGTCAGTGGTTGATTTCAACATTCGTTGGTCACATGACAAACTAAAGAGAAATATACACTTTTAAAACACACTAACATATAAATGTAGATATTGTAAGCTGGATTTGTATGTATGTGCCATAATTATAGGTAAATATTTAAATACAAAAAATGCCTTGCAACACTTAAAATTTGACCTTTGATTCTTTATGATTATTTCTCTCCAGACTACTGATAAAGTTGCCAGAGCTAAACTATCAGGTAAAGGTTAAAGCATCAATTGACAAGTAAGTTTCTAATTTCATTTTGAATTATAAAAATATAAGACATTTTTAATAAATTACCTTAATTTTGTGGGATGATTTTAAACTTTAAAATTTTATTCCTTTAACATTATATATCAATGTACTTCAATTATTTGACTTTAAAATTTGAATGTTTACTAGAACTTCAATGAAAACCTACTCAAAAAAACTTACTATAATGATTTCAAACGAAATTTTATAGACCATCCTCTAAAGTATGATAGAATGTTTTTACTAGATATATTAAATAACTCACTTCAAGAATCTTCTTGGTTTTACAGGAATATTTCAACTTTAAGGTAAGACATTCACTTTGTAGAAAGTTTTTGTTGTTTTCAAAAACGCATTTTACCTGCGACCACATAAATAGCTACGATTTCCTGTCTAGCAACAGAAGATTTGTTCTGTGTGGAACTCATGTCAAAGCCATGTCCATTGAAGAGTCTTCTAATGGGAGTCTTTCAGTGGAATTTCGACATTTGGTGAGTTTGGCAGTAAAATTACACGAACTTCCTTTTTTTTTTCTAAATAAGACCCATGTTGTTGTTGTTGTTGTATGTCGTCGAGTCGGCCCCGACTCATAGCGACCCCTCCTTGGGTTTCCGAGGCAGTATCACTACGGAAGTAGGATTGCCCAACCTTCCTTCTGAGGAGTGGCTGGTGGGTTTGAACCGCCAGCCTTCTGGTTAGCAGTCAAGTGCCTTAGGCACTATGCTACCAGAGCTCCTAAAATAAGACCCATACTGATAAACAAAACATATCATCACTGAAGAATTAAAATGGTAGAAAGAGCACTGAACTTAAAGTCAGAAAGTCTGAGCTCTTGAGAATGGTAACGTACCAGTTATATACTAAACCCACTGCCGTTGAGTCAGATCCGACTCATAGTGAGCCCTCCTTGGGTTTCCGAAGCAGTACCATACAGAAGTAGATTACCCAACCTTCCTTCCGAGGAGTGTCTGGTGGGTTTGAACCAGCAGCCTTCTGGTTAGCAGTCAAATGCCTTAGGCACTATGCTACCAGAGCTCCCACAGTTATATGCTAGCTGTAATCAAACTGATTCCAACTCATGGTGACCCCGTGTGTGTCAGAGTAGAACCGAGCTCCATAGAGTTTTCAGTGGCTGATGTTTCTGGACTACAATGCCAACCCTTTCTTCTCAGTGCCTCTGGGTGGATGTGAACCTCCAACGTTTTGGTTAGCAGCCACACGTGTTAAGACTCCATGATGATGTACTATCTATGTAGTAGTTGGTCAATTTTTTTTATATTGACAAAGATAATCTGCTTTATAATGGATAGGCATTTCTGGTTTCAGTTTTTAAATCTCCTGTAGAAATGTTATCAATAAAAATATGTCTGGCTGAAAGCACTTCCACAGGGGACTTATGATATCCCTAATTATGACTGCTGCAGCCAAGTCTGTCTTAGCATGTCTAGAATGCTTCTGACCCAGCCCTATCCTGTTGCTTCTGGTTTTTACCACTTCCTCTTAACCTAGAGTTCTCTTCCTGCCTTTCTTTTTTCATTTAGGCATAATTCTTAGATTCTCAAAGACCCTATGGCTTTTCTTGTCAGAATCATGTTATTTGTCTGATTTATTAATATTAGGAAGTCTCTTATCTGAGTGTTTGGACATTGAAAGGTCTATTTTTTTAAAAAAAGATAAAATCTAGGTTAACAGAAAGTTATCTGCAAAAGCAAATTTATATAATCCCAAATGCTAGTTTTCATTTTTTGTTTTGTTTTTGCTTAGTCTTCAGTGGTGAAGAGTACATTTCTTTTTAATTGAATCTCTCCCTTATGAGACTGGTAAATAAATAGAATGTATTGAGAAACCATGTATTTACATTCTTGTAATCAGCACTTTTCAGTTGGGCTTAATTTCTATCCTCAAGGAACTTTTAGTAATGGGTAACATGTAGAGGAGCAAAGGGCCCTTTCCTTAAAATGCCTCCCTCTCAAAAAAATCATGTGGAAAAGAAGGACAAGGAACACACCAAAAAATGGTTAAGTTCTAATTCCAGCAGGTATAATATATAAAATAATAAAATCTTAGTTTTTGCAGTGCTGTTCTAGTTGCAAAGTATTTTCATATATATTATCTTTTGCTTAATAACTTTAATCACATTTTAACATAAAAGTAAATGTAAGTTTACATTTAAATTAAAAATCACCTATAATCTTGCTAACTTGAGGAAACACTATTAACATGTTTATTTTATGCTTTCATTCTTTTCTCTAAATAAATAAATATATATATATGTACTTTTAAAATAAAAAATTGAAATCAGATTGTACACATTGTATAATTTGTTTTCTGCCTTTTTTTTTTCCATTCTGTAACCCATATTATGAACATTTTTTTTGTTAGTAAGTCATTTCCTACTATAATGCCATTTAATAGCTTAATGTGCCATGTGGTACACTGCCCCATAGTTTATTTGGCCAGTCCTCTATATTAGACTTGGTTTCACAGGGATTGGGGGCCCATCATCCACAGCTTAGCTCAGATGATGCTTTCTAAGCACAGTGGAGGACTAGAGTCTAAAAGATCCTAGAAGATTCCCCTTTTTCAAACTATTGCCTGAAAAATATAGTATTAATGGTATACCAACGTGCTCACTTATCTCAGTGAAAGTTTCTAAAATGATACCCCATGAGGTTAGAGAGAAAGTTCCTTTCTGTTAACTTGGAAACTATTACAGGTTTCAGTGTTAAACATCTCTGACTTACTGTTAGTAATCAAAATTGTGGCCAAGAAAATCACTACAATAGGTATGATTGCTTGATACTTAGCTGATAATTCTTCTCCATCTAAACATTGCTGTTTTCTTTTACAAAGCAACCAAAGGAAATGAAATCCAGTGCTGGAAGCAAAGGAAATGAGGTAGGAAATATTTTCTCTCAGATAAATTTTTTAGGAAATAATTCTATATCTTGTTTTTATGAAGTTCTTAATTTGACCTTTATTTTTTATATAAAAAATCAATTTTGTGTTTCTATTGACTGCTAACCAGAAGGCTGGCAGTTCAAATCCACCAGCTACTCCTCAGAAGAAAGATTGGACAATCTACTTCCATAGAGATACTGCCTTGGAAAACCAAGGAGGGGTCACTATGAGTCAGGAACAACTCAATGGAAGTGAGGTTTTTTAAATAACAAAAATAAAGCTTGATAATTTAAGATAATATAGGAAATTTAAGATAAATAAAATTTGTATATAATAAACTCCCAGAAGAAAATGGCTATCAGATTGGGTCCAAGATGACAGCATAGTCAGATGCCTCATTACAACCCTGTTACCACAAAGACTCAAGAAAATAAGTGAATCAGATACAGATGACAACTTTGGAACCCTGAACATCAAATGGAAGGCTAAAGAACTGGACTGAGTGCCATGTGGAAGAAGAGACTGCACAAAAACAGAGGACAAGGAGAATTACGGATCGCTGGTGCCCCACCAGCTGGCCCTGCCCAGTGCAGCTGTATTGAGACAAAGCAAGCGGTGCTCCCAGACGAAGTGCTCACTATCTGGTACTGCCAAGTAAGAATACACCAACACCAATGTACAGAGACAGACAGGAGCACTCTGTGCCCAATGAGAGTTAAGTACACTCACTATGCCCCTCCTTACCCCCCTGTGCTGGAGGCCTGTGGAACCATGGTGCCCCTCATCCTTAACGTCCCCTCCTCACACATATCTGCAGACCAGCAGTACCCACCACCATCCTGCACCCTTCACTAGAGGCCCATGAACAGGAAGCATTCACCCCCAAGCCCAGCTACTCATACTGGGTACACACAGACTGGTGGTGCCCCCTCCACTTTTTCCCATCCACTTATGCTGGGGGCTTACAGACTGGAAGCACCTGAACCTCTGCTCAGCCACCCACACTGGAGGCCTGTAGACTGATGGTGCCCACTCATCCATCCAAACACCTATGCTGGTGAGCTACCCAAGGACAGGTGGCTCCCAATCTTCTGCCCAACCACCCCTGCTGTGGTTCCACATAATGACAGCACCTGCTAGTCCACCCAACCACTCACAGTGAGGATCTGCACATTGGTGGCACCTGATCCTCCACCCCACCCCCCAACCAGCGCCCCACAGACTGGTAGCACCCTTTCCTCTACCCAACTACACACACCAGGCTGGGGGTCTCATGGACCAGTGGTTAACCTGCCCTTTGCCACACTCTTACTATCCCCATGCCATCCTGCCCACCTGGGACTGGCAGTACAAGTTCCATTGCCACCTACCTGGTAACCTATTACCTTTGCACCCTTGCCAAATGATGAGCAGATAAACCTAGTGTCCACATCTAAATGTCTACATTTCTGCAACAGCACACATTCCAAACCCAAACAGTTCCTGTAGGTCATCTGCACTTATACTGAAACGAGTTGATAACTCACCACCTACTGAATTGCCAACTTGTCCACATGTAGCAAGCACATCCCATACATGTGGGCAGCAATCCCTCACAACAGACACAGAGAAGTCCTGCCTTGACCTCCAGAGAATGACTAACTGTCAAACCAAAGTTAATGCCTCAGAGACAGCAGACAATAACAAATCATATAAAGAGACAAGATGAGGTGACTCAAACAAGTAAGCAAAATAAATGGACAGAATTCCTGAGGAAGAAATGGTAATAGAACCAACAATAAGAAATTTAAAAGGCATACATAGGATCCTCAAAGAGACAAGGAAAAAGATCAAGGGAAACACAGACAAAATTCTAGAAGAATCTAAGAGAATAATACAAGGATAAAATGACAAAGTAAATAGACAATTAGAATCCATACAACAAAAACAACTAGAAATCCAGAAGATTAACAATTAAATATCAGAAATTGTTAGCACAATGGAAGGACACAATGTGGAATTAAATCAATGGAAGAAAGAGTCAGGAAATAGTAGACCAGTCCTTTGACATGAATCTAGTTAAGGAACAATCAGAGAAAAGAATAAAGAAAATTGAAGAAAGACTAAAAATTATGTGGACACTATCAAGAGGAATAATATATGCACGTTTAGAACCCAGAACAGGGAAGACAGAGAATTCTTTTTGAAGATTTATTGGCAGAAAACTTCCCTAATATCATGAAATATAAGGCTTCCATCCAAGAAGCTATCCATATAGGGCAGATCCCAAAAGATATATTACAATTAAACTCTCCAAACCAAAGACAAACAAAGAATTCACAGAGCGGCTCATGAAAAATGAAATATCATCTACAAAGGAGCACCAATAAGACAATGATTTCTCAGCATAAACTATGCAGACAAGAAGGCAATGGGATGACATATATAAAACCCTGAAAGAAAAGAATTGCCAACCAAGAATCATACATTCAGTAAAATTGTCTCCCAAATATGATGGCGAGATTAGGACATTCCCAAATAAGCAGAAATTAAGAGAATTTGTAAAAACTAGACCATCCTTATGAGAATCTTAGAATCAAATGGGAGTGGAAGCATTCATAGCAAAACCTTTGAGATACAGCAAAAGAAGTACTTATAGGAGAATTTATAGCAATAAATGCACACTTCAAAAAACACTACCTTTACCCTACAACTCAAACAAATGGAAAAGGAAGCCCAAAAGAATCCCATAGCCATCCAAAGAAGGGCAATATTAAAGATCAGAGCAGAAATAAATGAATAAAAAACATGAATCAACAAGACTAGATGTTGGTTCTTTGAGAGGCTCAATACAATTAACAAATCACTGGCCAAACTGACAAAACAAAAACTGAGAAGATGCAAATAACCAAAATAAGAAGTGAAATGAATGACATTACAACAGAGCAAACGAAGGTAAAAAGGATCATAACAGACTATTATGCACTAAAATTATACTCTAACAAATTTGAAAACAGAAGAAATGGACAAATTTTTAGGAACACAGTACCTACTAAAGGAGCACAATTGAAGTAGAAAATTTGAATGGGTCCATAAGAAAAGAAAAAGTTTAAGTGGTCATAAAAAACTCCCAACCAATAAAAGCTTCACTGAAAAATTCTACCAAACATTCAGAGATGAGTTGACACCAATCCTACTCAAACTATTCCAGAACATAGAAAAGGAAAGAATACTCCCTATTTATTCCATGAAGCTGGCATAACCCTGGTGCCAAAGCCAGGCAAAGACATCACTGAAAAAGAAAATTACAGGCTGATATCCCTCATGAATACAGATGAAAAACTCTAGCCAACAGAATTCAACAGCATATCCAAAAAAATAATAATAATATATCATGATCACATGGGATTCATACCAGGGATACTTAAAGATCAGCCGATCAATCAGTGTAACTCACCACATAAATAAAACAAAGGAAAAGTCACATGATCATCTCAATGAATGCAGAAAAAGCATTTGATAAAATCCAACACCCTTTCTTGATGAAAACTCTCAGCAAAATAGGAATAGAAGGGAAATCCCTCAACATAATTAAGAGTACATATGCAAAACCAATAGCCAACATTATTCTCAACAGAGAAATATTGAAAGCATTCCCCTTAAAAATGTGAATGAGAGAAGTATGCCCTTTATCATCACATATATTCAATATTGTACTGTATTAGAAGTCTAGCTAGAGCGATAAGGCAAGAAAAATAAATAAAGGGAATCTTAATTGGAAAGGAAGAAATAAAACTATCCCTATTTGCCAATGACATGATCCTATACATAAGAAAGATCAAGTACTCCACATGAAATTTACTGGAACTAATAGAAGGAACACAACAACAACAATAGAAGAATTCAGCAAAGTGGTCAGGTATAAGATCAATACACAAAAATCAGTAGGGTTCCTCTATACCACAAAAGAACACTCTGAAAAGGCAACCGAGAAAACAATGCCATTTACAATAACCAAAAAACCAAACCCACTGCCATCAAGTCGATTCTGACTCATGGTGACCTCCATTGGGTTTCCAAGGGAGTCAGTCTTTATGGAAGTAGATTGCCCCATTTTCCTTCCACAGAGTGGCTGGTAGGTTTGAACTGCCAACCCTCTGGTCAGCAGTCAAATGCATTAGACACTGCACCACCAGAGCTCCTTACCATTTACAATAGCCATCAAAAAGTAAAATACCTAGGCATAAACCAATGAAAGACATGAAAGACTTATAAAAAAAAAAAGCTATAAAACACTACTTCAAGAAACTGAAAGAGATCTACATAAGTGGAAAAACATTCCATGCTCATGCATTGGAAGACTTAACATTGTGAAAATGCCAGTACTACCAAAAGCAATCTATAGATCCAAATCCTAACAACATTCTTTAATGAAATGGAAAAAATTATCTCCAACTTTAAAATGTAAAAAAAGAGGCTCCAAATAGTTAAAGCAAAATTGAAAAACAAAGTAGGAGACCTCACACTTCACAATCTCAAAACTTACTGTACAGCCATGGTAATCAAAACAGATGTGTAGTAATACCATGACGACACATAGATCAAAGGAACAGAAATGAGAACCCAGAAGAAAACCCATCCATCTATGGGCACCAGATCTTTGACAAAAGCAAAGTCCCTTCAAAGAGGAAGAAACATTTTCTTTAGTAAATGAAGCTGACCAAACTAGACATTGACCTGCAGAAAAATGAACCAGGATCTGTACCTCACACCATGCACAAAAGCTAATTCAAAAGGGACCAAAGAACTAAATGTTAAAGTTAAAACTATAAAGTTCCTGGAATATCACATAGAGCCAAAACTAGGGGACCTAATTTTCAGAATAAATAGCCTATCAAACAAAACTAAAAATGCATGAACTGTAGAAGGGAAAATAGATAACTGGGACCTGCTAAAAATTAAATATTAGTAAATGGGGAGTGAAACTAAATGTAATGTAATGTTGAATGTAAAACAAA